TCTAAAATGGTATCTAGCACATTTTTGGTGGGTGTTGTCAGGTCAATTTCTACTCCCAGCAACCCTCCGTGACAGAGTGGAACTGCCCCAAAGAATCTTCTAGGCTGTCATCTTTCTTTAAAAAACATTTTATTGTGAATGAAGGGAAGAACAGACCATCGGTTTTACATCCCACAGATCTTACACTTTGCTTCATCTCAATGACCACAACAAGCCCCTCCATGTAACATCACTTATCCCACTTCCTCCCTGGGATTCTTGTTTCCATTCCACCTTCTTTTCTCACCCCTCTGAATTTTGTCCTTGGGTAAATCTATAAGCTGTGATCTTGACAGGCACAGAACGCCAGGTCTTTCTTCCTGCAGACCTACTAGGTAGATTTGAACTGTCAACCTTTTGGTTAGCAACCGAGAACTTAACCTATTTGCTTTGTCCATATTTATTTAATCTTTGGAACAACCTAACTGGCCAGTTGGGGACCTGAGGCCTAGGGAGGTTAAGTCCCTTTCTAGGACATCCTGAGGGGCAGAGTTCAGGTTAGAACTCACCCTCTTTCCACTGCCCTGTTCTGCCCTCAGTCTCCTGTCTGCGGCTGGGGAAGGGAGTCCCAGCCAGTTCTGAAATAATTACTGGTTTCTAACTATAAACCAGCTTCTGAGCCCAAACCAGCTGCCTCTTGGCCTCAGGGGACCTCCAAAACTGGACAGTCCTGTCCAGCCAGGTGTGGCAGTGGCTGGGAGCAGGCAATCAGAGAAGACTTTCAGGAAGGTGCTCAGAGAAGCATAGCTGGAGATCTGAGCAAAGGGTTATGAAAACACAGGAATACACAATCCTCCCATGTTGCCTACTGACCGCAAATCTCAACTCTTGCCCTCCTACCTCTGCACACTAGATACACACTGAACCATCTGGTTGGTGATCGTGATCAGGCGTTAGGAACGCGGAGCTCTTACTCATCCGTCAAAACCCTAGCTTGAATGCCCATCCTTCTGGGAAGCCATCCTTACCCTCTGGCCTTCCCCAGTAAAGGGACTCTCCCTTTGCTTAGGCTCTGACCACCAGTTCTGTGTCCTCTACCCCTGTCTGGGATACCCTGGAGAACAGGACCCAAGACCAAGGCTTTGTGAGGCCAGCCCAGCCCAGCCCATCTCAGAAACAGTGTTAAGGTCTGCTGAATGTGTCTTGAAGGAAATAAGGCATAAATGAGTGAGTGATAAATATAAATTTATCACACCCCTCCTCTGTCTACAGCCTTCCAGGGCTCCCACCCCTCAGGTAAAAGACCACAGTCTCCCACTTGCTCCAGGCACACAGCGCCTGCCTCCTTGCTGTTCCTCCAACTCATCAGTCCATGTCCTGCCTCAGGGCCTTTGCATGAGCTGTTCCCTCAGCCTGGAATGCCCTTCCCCCAAATAACATGCATGTTTTTTCCTTCCCTTGCTCAGGTCTCTGCTCCAATTCCAAATCCTAGCCCCTTAGAAAATGGAGGAGAACTGCCCCAGAGGCTGTCCAAGGCTGCCATCTTGTCAGAAGCAGATGGTCACACCTTTCTCCTGAGGAGTAACTAACTGGTCGCTTCACACCATCAGCCTTTTGGTTAGCAGCCAAGCACTTAACCACTGCACGACCAGGGCTTCTGATGAGTCTGTATGTGTTGTTGTGGTTGTTAAGTGTTGCCCAGTCAGTTCCAACTCAAAGCAACCCTGTATAGGGTTTCCGAGGAGAAGCTGGTGGGTTTGAACCACCAAACTAGTGTTGCAAGTTGACCTTGTAGTCCAGTGCCACACCAGGACTCCCTGAGTGTATGTTGTTGTTAGGTGCCATCAAGTCAGTACCGACTCCTAGTGACCCTATGCACAACAGAACGAAACACTGCCCGGTCCTGGGTCAACCTCACAATCGTTGCTACATTTAAGCCCAATGATGCTGCCACTTGGCCAATCCATCTCACTGGGGGTCTTCCTCTTTTTCTCTGACCCTCCACCTTACCAAACATGATATCCTTCTCCAGGGACTGGTCCTCCTGACAATATGTCTGAAGTATGAGAGACGAAGTTTGGCTCTCCTGGCCTCCAAAAGGAGCACTCTGGCTGTACTTCTTCCAACACAGATCTATTGGTTCTTTAGGCAGCCCATGGCACTTTCAATATTCTCCTCCAACACCATAACTCAAAGGCATCAATTCTTCTAAGGTCTTCCTTATTCGCCATCCAACTTTCACATGCATATGAGGTTATTGAAAATACCATGGCTTGGGTCAGGCGCACCTTAGTTCTCAAGCTGACATCTTTGCTCTTGAACACTTTAAAAAGGTCTTGTGCAACAGATTTGTCTAATGCAATACGTCATTTGATTTATTGACTGCTGCTTCCATTGAGTTGATCCAAGCAAAACGAAGACTTTGAATGCTGTTTATTGGTCCAGTGGTGAGGGTTTTTGTTTTCTTTACACTAAGGTTCAACCCATACTAAAGGCTGTGGTCATTGATCTTCATCAGTAAGTATCTTAAGTCCTCTTGGCTTTCAGCAAGCAAGGTTATATCATCTGCATATTGAAGGTTGTTAATGAGTCTTAATGCCACGTTTTTCTTCATACAATCCAGCTTCTCAGATTATGTGCTCAGCATACAGATCGAATACATATGGTGAAAGAATACAACCCCAGAGCACACTTTTCCTAGTTTTAAACCATTCTGTGTTCCCTTGTTCTGTTTGAACAACTGCCTCTTGGTCTATGTACAGGTTCGTCTCATATTTAGTAATGTTGTCCATAGCTTGGCACGACCACACAACTGAAAGCCTTTGCATGGTCAAAAAAGCACAGGTAAATATCTTTATGATATTCTCTGCTTTCAGCCAAGATCCATTGGACATCAGCAATGATACCCTTGTTCCACGCCCTCTTCTGAATCCAGCTTGAACCTCTGGAAGTTCTCTGTCAATGTATGATTGTAGCCGTTTCTGTATTACCTTTAGCAAAACTTTACTCACATGAGATATCAATGATACTGTCCAATGCTTTCCCATCATGATGTCTGACTTTTTCCAGGGACTGGTCCCTCCTGATAACATGTCTGAAGTATGAGAGATGGAACCTTGCCATCCAAGGTTCTAAGGAGCATTCTGGTTGTACTCCTTCCAACACACATCTGCTTGATCTTTTGACAGCCCAGGTACTTTCAATAATCTTCTCCAACACTACAATTTAAATGCATCGATTCTTCTTACAGTCTTCCTTATTCATTATTCAACTTTCATATGCGTATGGGGTGAGTGATTGAAAATATAATATTCCATTGTATGTATGGATCACATTGTGGATATTCATCATCTATTCATGGACACGTGGGTGATTGTCATCCTTTGACTTTGGTGAACCATGTTGCTATGAACATACATGAATACGTTTTTGTGAGCCTGTGGGGTTTCAATTATTTGGGTATATACTTTGGAGTTGACTTGCTGGGTCCTATCCTGGTGTGTCAGGGAACCCTAGTATCATAGTGCTTACATATTGGGCTGCTAACTGCGTGGTCAGCAGTTCAAATATACCAGCTGCTCCGTGGGAGAAAAATGAGGTTTTTCACTGCTGTAAAGATTTACTGCCTCGGAAACCTTATACAGGGTTGCTATGAGTTGGAATTGACTTGATGGCAATTAACAACCATAACCATGCAGTCCATGTTGTTGTTAAGTGCCGTCGACCACTGACCTTAAGGTTCGCAGCCCGATTCGTAATCACTATGCTACCAGAGCTCCCCCTTGACTGCTAACCTAAAGGTTGGGGGTTCAAGTCTACCCAGAAACACCACGGAAGAATGACCTGGCAATTTGCTCCCCCCCTGAAATCAGTCATTAAAAATCCTATAGAACATAGTTCTCCTCTGACACACATGGGGTCAGCATGAGTTGAAATGATCTCAACGGTAACTGGTTATTAATCTGTGGATGGTATTAACCAAAAGCTTGGGGTACCTTGAGTCGGAAGCCACTTCCGGATTCTGGTTTTATTAAATTGGTTTATGAGACTCGATGGTACCTAACAACAACAACAACAACAAAGTAACAATTGGTGGGACTGCCAGACTGATTTTTACACTGACTGCTTCATTTTACATTCCCACCAGCAGTACCTGAGGGTTCTAATTTTTAAGGGTAAGACTTTTGGTCCTCTTGGTTCACAAGTGTATGCAACTCCGTTGCTGTCAAAATCAATTCCAACTCATAGAGACCCATCTATTACAAAGTAGAATTACTCCTGGGGTTATTCTTGGCTGTTATCTTTATAGAAGTCTCTGGGTGGTACAAAGAGTTAAGCGTTCGACAACTATCCCAAAAGGTTGGCAATCTGAATCCATGTAGAGGCACTGTGGAAGAAAGACCTGGAGATTGGTTTCCTAAAAGTCGACAATTGAAATCCCTGTGAAGGACAGTTCTCCTCAGCACACATGGAAGCGCCATGAATCTGAATAAACTTGAAAACAACTAAAGCATCAACAATCTTTACAGAAGCAGATTACCAGGACTTTCTTCCGCAGCACCTCTGAATGGGTTCAAACTGCCAATTTTAAGGTTAGTGTTGTCATTCGCTATCATCAAGTCGGTTTCGACTCATAGCTACCCAGTAGGATTTCCGAAGAGCAGCTGGTGGGTTTGAATTGCCTATCTTGCACAGTTAAGTCAGCTCTGACTCATGACGACCCAATGCATCAGAAAAGAACTGTATTCCATAGAATTTCCAAGGCTCTGACCCCTTAGGAAGCAGATCTGCAGGACATTCTTTCATGGTGCCGCAGGGTGGGTTTGAACCTCCAACTTTTAGGTTAGTGGGGGCCACCCAGGGATCGAACACTAAATAACCAGACCCATTGCCAGTCGATTCTGACTCAGTAGAACTGAGTCTACTGGTGTTTTGGGCTGTCATCTTTACAGAAGCGGAATCATTTGGCCTTTCATTCATAGCACCGCTGTGTGGGTTAATAAATGCTAGGTACTAAAAAGATGTCTGAGCTAAGCTCAGGCGAGTCAGCCGACGGGAGCGCTGGGGGCGAACTGGCCAGGCTGGGGCCCAGTCAGCAGCTGGGTCCGCCTCCGCCGCGCCCAGGCCGGGCCTCCTGCGTACCGGGCGTGCCTGGGCGAGGCGGGCGGAGCGTGGCGGGGGCTGGCGGCTGGGCCGGTCCGGCGGGTGGCAGGGCGCGCGGGCCCCGGCTGGCTCCGGCGCCGGGTCCGGGCGCCATGGAGGGGCTGCGGCGCGGGCTATCACGCTGGAAGCGCTACCACATCAAGGTGCACCTGGCCGACGAGGCGCTGCTGCTGCCGCTGACCGTGAGGCCTCGGGACACGCTCAGCGACCTGCGCGCCCAGCTTGTGGGCCAAGGCGTCAGCTCCTGGAAGCGCACTTTCTACTACAACGCGCGGCCGCTCGACGATCATCAGACGGTGCGCGACGTGCGTCTGCAGGACGGCTCGGTGCTGCTGCTTGTCAGCGACCCCAGGTGGTGGGGGGCAGGGGATCTGGGGGTGAGGGTGAGGGTGGGAGTAGACAGGAAGGATTAGGAGCAGGAGATGGGACTTGGGGGTAGGACAGGCCTTGGTAGGAAGAGACACGCTGAGCACAGACCAGGACTGGGAAGAGGTCCGAGTAGGTGTGGAGGATGGGCGGCTGAGGGGTTGGGGTGGGGGAGGACTAGGGCCCATCGCAGCATATTTCCCCACATGAGAGTGGGGTAACTGAGGACCTCCCCAACCCCACCCCCAGTTAGGGTCGTGTGGGTAGAGGGAACAGAAGGGGAACTAGGGGTGAGAAGTGAATTTCTGGCCCAGGATCAGGCTGGGAGAGGCTAGGGGACGTTCAGACAGATGACAGACCCTAGACGCCTGGCTGGGGGCTGCCGTCAGGGTGCATGCACCTGAAGTTCTGGCTGGGGTGTAGGTTATTTTGGGGGAATGCCTGTTTCACCTGTGGTAGGAACCTGCTGGGGCGGACAGGCCTGCATTTGGTTTGCTGTCTGTATTTTTCTTCTTTTCTGGTGTGTCTTATCTCTCCGTCTCATCTTTCCCGCTCTGGTAGTTCTGTCTCTTCCTTTCATTCCTTATCAGTGTCTCTGTGCATCTCTGTTGTTAATTGTCACGGAGTGGGTTCTGACTCATGCCGTGTATGTCAAAGTAAAACTGCTCTACTGAGTTTTCAAGGCTCTGGACTTTTGGAACCAGATTTCCTGACCTTTTCTCTGAGGTGCCCCTGAGTGGGTTTAAACCACCGACCTTTTGGCTAGTAGTCAAATGTCACCTGGGACTCCTGTCTCTCTCTGTATCTCTGTCCATTTCTGTCTCTACTGTTTCTCTCTCTCTCTGTGTTTCTCAGTGTCCACCTCTCTCTGACCTTCCCTGTGTGTCTCCCCTTCTCTGTCTCCTTTCTCCCCTCTCAGTGGTGTTGGTCCATTTCTTTCATCCCGTATAACTCTTTGTCTCTCTGTCTCTGTTCATCTCTAGCTCAGTCATTTTTCTCTGTTTCTCTCTGCACAGGGGTCTCTCTGTCCACTCAAACTCCCCTGTCCACACCCTGTCACTCCACACTCTGACCTGAACATTAGTCATCTGGACGCTCAGAGCATTTGCTGGCCCAGGAAATCACGGTGGCCCCTCACATGCTGTGTGTTCTCAGGCAGCTTATTCACCCTCTCTGGGCATCAAACATGTTCTGAGCCCCAGATTCACAGCCAGACACATGAAAATAAGCAGGGGTGACCTAGTGGGTGGTTGAGCACTGGCTGGAGAGGCAAGGAGGCTGCAGACCCCTGAGGAGGCCTTTACTTACCCATCTGTGAAATGAGGAGAGACACATTTGACCTGTCTTGGGTGAAAGTAGTTGTTTTCAGACAAACTGGCCTGGGTGCCTCCCTCCCCTACCAATGAATGGGTGGGGCAGCCTATCTCCCTTGTGTCACATCACCAGCTGCCTCCAGGAAGTTTGGTAGTGACGTCACTTCCTGCCTCTAGGGTTAGGGGGGAAACTGTCCAGGTGTGTAGAGACCAGCCGGCACAGGGCAACCAGTTGGTCACCACACATAGTGACCCTGTGTAGGGTTTCCCAGGCTTTAAATCTTTGTTGTTGATGTGTGCCGTTGAGTTGGTTCCGACTCATAGCGACCCTGTACAGGGTTTCCGAGGCTGAGAACGCCTCATCTTTCTCCCACGGAACAGCTGGTAGTTTCGAACTGCTGACCTTGTGGTTTGCAGCCCGATTCGTAACCACTACGCTACGAGAGCTTTTTTAGGAGAGCAGAAAGCCGTATCTTTCTCTGAAGCAGCTGACAGGCTCTCCCTGCTTATCATAAGCTCAATAATGGTCATGTCCAAGGGGCTTCAAAAGGTTCATGAAATAATTCCACTATCTTTTCATTTAATTTTCCCACAAAGCCTCCTCATACTGAGCACCTGTGAGTTACTAAGCATTAATTTCCGAAGGGGCAGGGCCAGTTCCAGAAGGCGTACTCTCTTTTCTGCTTTTGTTTTGAAATGATTTTTTTTGTTGTTAGAAATACACACAGCAGAACATATACAGATTTCTACACGTACAGTTCTGTGATACGATGACATTCTTCCAGTTAGAAGCCTCGTTCCTAATTCCTGGTCTTCCTCCACAAATGGCGACCGTGATGATGGTAGTGATGATTTCCTCCTGTTCTTTCTTTCTGTCAACACCTTTAGACTATCCTATTGGTGCAGCCTTCAGAATCGATCCTGGATCCGCCTATTTCCACCCCTCCTCTGCCTCCACCTGGGTGGGGGTCTAGCCCCATTGTTGCCCACCTGGACCAGTGCAGTCTCCTCCCTCCTGGTCCCTGACTCCCGCCCTCGTCGCCACTCCCTCAAACTCCAGCAGTAGCCAGAGGGCGCCCGTGACCATCTGAGTCCATCCTCTGATGCTGCTCTCCAGGGCTCTCACCTCCCTCTGAGAAAAGCCCATGTCCTCCCTGAGGCCCATTCTTCCTGCTTTCCTGTCCTTCTTTCTCTCTCTTACACACTCCACTTGAGCTACATGGGCCTCCTCACTGTTCCTCCAATGCACCAAGCCTGGTCCTACCCCAGGGCCTTTGCATAGGCTATTCCTTTTGCCTGGAATACTTTTCCCTAACTACACACATAGCTCCCCCTTAACCTTCATGCGACCTTCCCTAACCACCCACACTCCCTGCTCCTCATCCCTGCTTCACATTTCTCCCAGCTGTCTCCTCAATGTTGCATCTATTTCTCCACCCTGCCTCCCCGACTAGACTGTAACTCTGTAAGTGAACTCATCCTGCTCACTGCTGTGGCCCCAGTTCAGTGCCTGGCACAGTGTGGTGTTGTGAGTTGCTGTTGCTAAGTCAATTCTGACTCTAGGTGACCTCATGTGCAGAGTAGAACAGTGCTCCACAGGGTTTTCCAGACTGTGACTTTTTGGGAAGCAGATTGCCAGACCTTTCTTCTGAGGTACCGCTGGGTGGGTTCAAACTTTAGGCTAGTAGTTGGCGCAAAACTGAACTGTTTGCACCGTCCAGGGACTCCTCTGGCACATATTTGTTGTTGTTGTTAAGTGCCGTTGAGTCGGTTCCGACCCAGAGCGACCCTGGACAGGGTTTCCGAGGGTGTAAATCTTTACGGGAGTAGAAAGCCTTATCTTTCTCCCGCGGAGTGGCTGGTAGTTTTGAACCGCTAACCTTAAGGTTCGCAGCCCGATTCGTAACCACTACGCTACCAGAGCTCCTTACCTGGCACATATTAGGTGCTGAAGAATATTAGTTGAATGTATCGTCTCTGGGAGGGGGTAGTTGGTGGTGGTTGTGTGCTGTGGAGTCAGTTCTGACTCATAGTGACCCTGTACAGGGTTTCTGAGGCTGTAAATCTTTAAGAGAGCAGAAAGCCTCATCTTTCTCCCGCGGAACAGCTGGTAGTTTTGAACTGCTGACCTTAAGGTTCGCAATCCGATTCGTAACCATTATGCCACCAGAGAGGAGGTAAGGAGGGGCTATTCAGAGCATTCTCCCGGCATCCTAGAGGGGTCTAAGAGTATGTGAAGACTCTGAACAGAGCAGGGAAGCTGTGTTTGGCTTCATCCTATATCTTTCTGTCCCCCTCCTTCAGGTAGCTTGGGTTTCAGGAGGTAGATCCATGACTGAGGGGACCCAAGGTGTGTGCTGAAGGAGGATGCTGGGGTGGGAGCACCTTTGGAAGATACTGCCCCCACCCCAGGGAGCCCTGACCTCACACCAGGTAAGTCTCTCTAGTATTTGAGACCCAGAGGCTGCAGAGACCAGAGCTGAGCAAACTGGGGTCTAGAGCGAAGGGACTCACCTTGACTGATGGTCACCCCCTCAGATGTTCCTAGGTTCCTGCCCCACCTTGTCACTTCGTTTTGGACTCACATGTGAGTGAGAACAATGTTGGCTGGGTTTGGTGGGTTGGTTCTCTGGCTTTTGACTGCTACCAAGTTAGTCCCTGACACCTTCCCTTACCCCATGTGCACTGGAAACACCACCTGGTCACGTGCCATCCCCGTGATTGGTTGCAGATCAGGACGTTGTAATCCGTAGGATTTCATTGGCTGAGTTTTCAGAAGCCTATTGCCAGGACTTTCTTCAAGTCTGTCTTAGTCTGGAAGCTCTGCTTCTTCAGCACCCTTGCAACACATACGCCTCCACTGGCCGGGAATCAAACCAGATGTCCTTCATGGAAGATGAGAATTTTACTACTGATCCCCCAGAGTCCCCTTGGGCTCTATTGTGACTGTACACCATCTAGTTGGTTCCTTGTATAGGGTTACTGAGGCTATGAATCTTTATGGAGAGTCCTGGTGTGACGCTGTAGGCTCAGGCCATGATTGGTTTGAATTGCAAGGTTGGAGGTCCGAACTCACCAGCCACTCCTCAGAAAGCCTACACAGGGTTGATATGAGTCGGAACTGACTCGATGGCACTTAACAACCACAACAAATCTTTACCGGAGCAGAAAGCCTTATCTTTCACTTACAAAGAGAGTGGTGAATTTGAACTGCTGACCTTGTACTTAACAGCCCAACATATAACTTACTAGTCTACCTGGGCTGTGTTTGGTGTTATTATGTGCCATTGAGTCGATTCTGACTCACAGTGAGCCTGTGTAGGGTTTCTAAGAGAATATGTTGTTGTTGTTGTTGTTAGGTGCCATCGAGTCAGTACGGACTCATAGTGACCCTGTGCACAGCGGAATGAAGCACTGACCGGTCCTGGGCCAACCTCATATCTATGGCGATGTTTAAGCCCATTACTGCTGCCACCGTGTCGGTTCATCTTGATCAATCGAGGTCTTCCTCTTCTTCGCTGACCCTCCACTTTACCAAGCATGTTGTCCTTCTCCAGGGACTGGTCCCTCCTGATAATATGTCCAGAGAATGAGAAATGAAGTCTGGCCATTCTGGCTTCTAAGGAGCATTCTGGTTGTACTTCTTCCAACACAGATTTGTTTGTTCTTTTGACAGCCGATGGTACCTTGAGTTATGGTATTAG